ATTTTAGTGTTCAAAATGCAACAATGGTACGATTACGCAGATGGTAATAAAAGATTAGTGTTAATACCACATTTGCCGGTGGATATCCTGTAACGATCAATTAAATAACCAGCCAATAACTATCCTGTAGTAAATTATTCTATAATCTGAATAAAATATATTCCTCAATTTTGGTTTTCACTGAATTTAACTGGTGTATGTACATACGTGTACATACGTAGGTAGTATGAATTTATGTATAACATACGTAAAAAAAGTAAAAGGTCATAATGGAAATGACCTCAGCAGGTCACTTATAAACAAAGGCTTTCCTCATAGATTGGCTCATATTTGGCAACTGCAGTTATTTTATTATTCAGTCATTGATCATTGTCAGGAAGATGCCGCTATCTCCGGTATAATATAGAGTAATAAATTCTCCTGTGCCGCCACTACACGGTTAATTATTATGACAAACTACAAATAAAACAAATTATATTCAATAATTAAGTTATAGATTTCTAGTAAATTAACACACGTTGGAAAAAGTAGGAATAGGCAAATTCAACAAAGAGCCCACTTCAGACGTGTGTTGGTGGGCTGCGGCGAGAAGGGTGTCCTCTCTCTAACGCAGCACCCGATGTGGAGTCGCTGGAGAAGAGGAGGTATGGCGATGCGCCACTCGCCCTATCCTCTGCGACTTTGTCGGCGCCGAACCATGATGTGGTAGTGGTGGACCCGCGGAGGGAGAGGAGTGTTGGTATTGCAAGGCACAGTTCTCCCTATCCTTTGCGGCTGAATCTTGATTGGCGGCGGATCCGCAGACCAGATCCAATGCTGGGGTCAGAAAAGTTGGTGCTTCCGAGTCTTGGCCCCATGGCCTCCGCGTATCAGGGGGGTGTCCGTTGCTTAAGGAAGAGTTGAGAGGACGCGTAGGAATGCGCATTTTGTGTTCCTAGTGCGCCTTTCGCTTAGCTTTCCATTGATTTCCATCGAGTTGGGTATTGATACGTATTTTTACAGAAAAGTTACACTATTATAAGCACACATAAAGTTTCAACTGCAAAAGAAGCTGCGAAGGAGAGGAACGATGCCTGCGATTTGTTACTCAAAGGCGTAGAGGCTGCTCTTCCCGCAGCGCCGGAGACGTAGCAGTCTCAAAATAGATACAGAAATCCTTCTAAATCAGTCCCCTTATTTTTTTATGATGAAGGGGATTTTTTTCTCATAAAATGGATTTATATTTACATTATAAATGCAAACATAAAAAATATATATAAAAAATATATATATATATAATTTTTTGTGAATCGATACATCAGCTTACAATTCGAATCGATTTAAAAAAAATCAACCTTTTTCGGAAAGAATCAACATCCCTACTGACAACGACAATACAAAATGGCGTCAGTTTTACGGTAGCAATTGACATAAATATTGCAAAAATGGTTGATATTCAATATTTTTTTTTCTCAAAAATTGCGCGTTTCCGCATGTTGAAACTTTGCGTGTGTGCTTATAATACAGTAACCTTTCTGAAAAAAAATATCAACCCACAACTCGACGGACGTCAATGGAAAGTCTTACCTCGCCTTATCCGAGAGGGAAAAGGGTGAGGAGAATTCCTCTCCCGAGAAGGTGCTGCCATGGGGCGGCCGGAGCTGGTGGGATGCGAATGTATGCGAATAGCGTTCCCGTGGTCCTGCCAATATGCGGCGAAGGTAGAATACCATATGGTTTTAGTCGTTGCGAGTCCGATATGACCCGTCCTTACACCCGCGAGGTGGGTATGCGCTGGCATTACCCCATGTTTTTTTATAGCAGAGAGGGCAATCGACCATGCGGCTTCACTGATACCAAGTGACTTCCGCCGCCCATAAACAACTACAACACCAGGAGAATAGCAGATGCGTTGCCGGCCTTTTGAAAAAGAGTAGGCTCTTTTCTTTAAGGTCCATGTTAAAAAAAGAAGTAAAACTGAAAACTATGATGACGATAGTGATTGTGAATATGTGTGTATTAGCAATAGGTCTGAGTTTCTTAAAAAAGAAATTATGGTTAAGAATTGGCGCTGTATAGTGGCGACGAAACCATTAGTGGATGTCGTAAGAGTCGGCAGAGGAACAGCTGAAAGTAAAAACCACTGCAATGGCAACCCACCTGCCACGTGTGGCAATTATGGCAAATATTCATCTCATGAGCCAAACTATTTGTGAAGTCTGTTTTCCGAATTTGCATGTTTGTTAGGCTGTAATAAAAGAACGAATGAATATCGATACAAAAAGCGGCAACAAATGAAAAGTAAACAGAGTATTGTTGAGGAATTATTGGCTTTGTTACACAATTTCAATACGAGAATTATAGAAGCATTGGATCGATCTGTTTTCCGAACACGATGTCAATTTATACTGTGTATAATAGGAATTGTGAATTGCGATAAATAACAACACACTGATCACAGAATTCAATCAAATCCAAGATGAAGTGACGACTTCATGAGAGTGCAAGAAGTCACTGGGTGAAGCTTGATCAGGACCGTACATTTATTAGTATATATTATTTTGAGTAGTTATCAGAAAGATGCTGCTGTGTATCTCTGTAGACACGGTTGTTCCCAACGGGCATAAATAATATATTTTTTTAGATCCTTCATCGCCATATTTTACAACCAGATCATACTATTTTGGACCTTTTTATTTTAGTATGTTTGTATTCACGTAGATAAATAAATAAACTTCGTGCCGATAGACGAAAGGCGGCCCCCACTAGATGAATTAACGACCTGGTAAGACATGCAGGAAGTCAATGGATGCAGGTGGCTCAGGACCGTGCTTTGTGGCATTCCTTGGGGGAGGCCTATGCACGGGCTAAGGCTAAGATACAACATACAGAATTATACAGTCAAGTAGTTAACAAAAGTATGAGATTGTGTTAAAATAGTTATTATCAGTGCGTACTTGAGTGTACATGGTGCAGACGAACTGTGCTTCGTTGACGGCATACATGTACGGTTGTCGCCGATATAAGAACTGTATCCTTTGGCGACTACGGCGTCCGTCTGCCACCGAACAGCGGAGACGTTTGCAGTATGTGATTTGTGCTGCCGTATTAGTATATTATCTGTGAGCGTTTGGCGCAAGTAGTACAGGAGCAATTCTGCAACGTTTATAAACCAGCATACAAAACGTTTGCTTATGAGGATTGTGAAGTGCCGACACGCGGCGCGAGAAGATATTTTCAAAAATGCTATTTGTTTCATACCGCTCGCTCTGCATCGCCGTATCGTGCTGTTAGGGTTTCCCAATGCTAGGGAACACCCTTAATCATAGATAATAACGGATTACATAGATTTCCTCTCAATAGTTTTGTCATCCTTTAAAGGCAGCTCTGATTTCCGCTCCCGAGGAACAAATTAGTCTCTGCCCGACCACTGAATCCCTAACACCTCTGTATCATTGCGTGTCGGCCAGTTTCGACTCCGGGCCGATTAAAATTTGTAACCAATTCTATTACTAAATAATACTATTTCCGTTGTGTAATAAAAAGTGGTTTTTTTTTAAACCTAGTTTACGAGGTCCCGTATAACAGTGCGATACATCTTAATCTAGGTATGTACGTTTTTTTTTGGGGTTTCTTACACGAGGGTTAGGTAGAGTAGAGCCGTGGTAGCTCAAAAGAGCCGTGGTAACTCAGATGGTTAGCGTCCCGGTAAATTACACGGTACGCGAGCAACTTGGGTTCGATCCCCGCCGGCACCGATAAAATTGTTAATTGTATTTTACGTGCTGATTTACTACGTGCTCGGCGGTGAAGAAAGACATCGTGAGGAAACCTGCATGTCTGACAAGTTCGCCACGGCAACAGGCAGAGTGGCGGAAACTTCCTTGCTCTTAACCCTCTCAGAAATTAGAGGAACCCCATACAAAGCAGTGGGACGTATATAGGCTGTAATTAACTTTAACTAGCCTCTGCTGTTAGTCCGTCCGTCCGTCTGTCAGTGGATTGTATCTCATGATCCGTAATAGGTAGACAGTTGAAATTTTCACAGAATGTGTATCTCACAGAATACCAGCGTAAAATAGTAGCTTAATGCTGCTGTGTTTCGTATGGTGAGTGTAGAGAACCGGATGCCCTTCTTACTGAAAACGAGGCATTCCATCTTTGTCTTCACGGATGACAACGCATCTGTATTTTGATTCGTAATCGAGCATAAATGTAGATGTCTATGGGCTACAGCAACCACTTACCATCAGGTAGACTTTGAGCTTGTTTGTCACCCTTATCCTATAAAAAAAACGTACGGACCTAGTTTTTTATTATACCTGGGTAGATTGAAAAGTTCGTGGCCTCATATAGACATGATTAAAAATTTAATTTCTTTCTGCCTTCATTATATTCTTTAACTCTTTAGTTGTCATTGTGTGAAATTTAATTTTAGTGTTACTTTTGGTTAAGAATTTACTGTGTTTTATTGAGCGTTAAGTGAAGCCATACTTTGTTATCAGCGTTCGATAACCGTTTTAGCTTATATTAATGGAAAGTTTACAAGATAAAAGTTTGAAAGAAAAGTATAAATGTAACCCTTTCGGCCCGCTCCAATACAATTGTGCGGGTCACAAAGTCGAGTATAGCTCATTAGTTTTACGTTGGCAGTGGACGGGTCCAGTATTGTACGATTATGCGTGAAGCGAACTTTCACCTCCCGCGCAAATTTTGTCCGACGCGCAGTCTGCGAGCAGGTTTCAACCTGTACACTTCGTGACTGATTGCGCTCCCCGACTTGGCAAAAGTAAGTACCTACTGTTGTTTTATTTTGAAAGTGTAGTAATATACGAGTTATTGATTAGAAAAATAGTTAAACATAGGATGTTTTTGTGATAACAGTGACTATTGGCAAGCAAACGCTTTGGCTTAACGTATTAACGAACTTTAATGACACAATTGTTTCAACGTGGGCCCTACATAACCTCATGCGTATTTTAAGTTTCTAATGATTATTCATTTTTCGCAGTTTCCGCACTATGTTTCCACTTTTAAACGACGCTGCTATCGAAGAGATGCTTTATGACTCTGGGGACGAGGGCGATGACAACGACGAAATCGATACGGACTACTTTATTGAAGAAAACCCCGAACATTCAAGTTCCTCTTCTTCTGATGAAGGCGAAGAAAATGATGACGATAACATACCTTTGAGTATGCTAGCAGGATGGCAGAAGAAGCCCTTCAATGGCAAACCTCTTCCAGAAGATGCTGTTCGTGACCCAGGAGATATTAAAACCCCATACGAATATTTCGAGCGCTATTTTACTGACGAGATCATGGAACAGATGGCTTTGACCACAAATCAATATTATATGGCCAATACTGGTATACAAATGAAACCTATTTGTTCTTTACTAGATATAAAGAAGTTTTTCGGAATACATGCCATTGTTGGGTGTATAAAATTTCCAAGACTGAAGATGATTTGGAACGAAAAATACAGGTACGAACCGATTGCAAATGCAATGTCTAGGGAACGGTTTTTCCTTTTAAGGACAAACTTGCATTATGTAGACGTGACAGCGGTGAATCAGACTGAGGAACAAACCAAAAATAGATTATGGAGGGTGCAGCCTGTCATTGATGCCGTCCGAAAAAGGTGCCTGCAGTTGCCAAGAGATGCTGGTAACTATTCAATCGATGAACAAATGATACCTTTTGAAGGTCGATGCAATTTGAAAGTAGTCGTAAAAAACAAACCTCGTCCAGCAGGATTGAAGAATTTCGTTTTAACTACCTCCAAGGGACAAGTTCTAGATTTCGAAATTTATCAAGGCTCTAGTACAAACTTACCCGATTCGGAGCATTTCGGAGTTGGTGCTGCTGTTGTATTACGCTTGGCCAATACACTCCCAGAAGGCAGTTTTATTTATTTCGATAGGTATTTTTCCTCACTGCCGTTGATGAAAGAGTCAGTTAAAAGAAAAATAGAAGGAACAGGAACTTTGATGGCCAACCGATTTAATACTAAAAAGAAAACGCTCTATGAATTCAAGAAGGATAATAGGATGGCTAGAGGAGAAGATGAGGAAGTTGTCAACAGGGAAAACACCTTGAGCGTCATAAAATGGAAGGACAACAAAGGGGTACTCATGGTCTCAACTGCTTTTGGAGCAGAACCGCGAACCCAGGTGTCAAGATGGGATAAAAAGAGGAAACGGTACATCGAAGTCTCATGTCCAGCCATAGTTAAAAATTACAACACTTTCATGGGTGGTGTTGATGTTTGCGACCAGATGATGGAGGCTTATCGAACATGGCGTAAAACCAAAAAGTGGCCTGTGAAAGTGATCATCCACATGTTTGACCTGGCTATAGTAAATTCTTGGTTCGAGGATCATGCTGACTGCAAAGCCCAGAATCGAAAATCTAAGGACATCATGGATTTGTTGGCGTTCAGGTTATCTATTAGTGACCACCTTCTAAATGGTCCTCCAAGAAAGAGACCAAGGGAAGATTTGGAATTCGCTGATATGCCTACCTCTTCTAAATACAGAGTGAAGTCTCTTCCCACAGTTGACCGACAGTACGACGGTTTTAATCATTGGCCAGTCTTCGACACTCTGAAGCAGCCTCGTTGCTGTCGTGCTCCTGGCTGCACTAGTCGTAGTCGTTGTCGTTGCTCAAAGTGTGATATTTACTTGTGCCTTAATAAAGACCGCAATTGTTTTTTTGATTTTCACAACAAAGACTGAATTTAATTAATACTATTATTAAACTTTGAGAAAATTGATCGCATTTCATGTTAAGTTGATCTCATTTAAAGCATTTGTTGATTATTATTACTGTAAAACTAGTACAAAGTTGTGTTTGTGATTTATAATAAATATTTTTGTAACTTTCATGTTCATTTCATTCATGGTCTCTTTTAAGAAAAACGTAAAAAAGGAGGCATTAGGCCCAACTTGATACAACTGTGACACTCACAATTGTACGTGGGAAATGAAGGGCCCAGTATGATACAATTGTGACCTTCACAATTATGGAATGATTTTGTAGTCATTCTGTAATATCCGAAAAACTTTTTATTATATTCTCGCAGCTCTTGATATTTTATGTAGAAAAATCCTTTCATAGGTCTCAAGGCCGTAAATAGGTGATTCCAATGTTCATGACATCTTACGATAGGTTTGTCACGCCGCCGTCGCCGTAGTATCAGGTAAATTAAAAATTTTCTTTTATTCATTTTAGACGTTCGTCTCAATCGGGAACTGCATCGAACTGACAAAAATCGTACGAAATTTTATTCGCAGTGCGTACATAACATACATACATAAACACTCACGCCTGTCACCCAGAGGGGTAGGCAGAGATTATGGACTTCCATTTGGCACGATCCTGACACACCTCTCTCGCTTCCTCCACATCCATATACCTACGCATACACGCTCGTCGGTTAAAGGTACTCTTGATTTGGCCCATTTTTAATATATCGCCAATTTGGTCGATAAACTTTCGCCTAGGGCGACCCTTCCCGACTATGCCGTTCACCTCTGCAACATAAATTTGCTTTGTCACTCTTTCCTCATTCATTCTTTCTACATGGCCAAACCACCGAAGCATTCCTTTCTTAATCCTGGTCACAACATCATCTTGCAAACCACACTCTTCTCTTATTAAACAATTTCTCACTCTGTCATTCAGCTTCATCCCTAACATACGCGCATCCTAACCTAACATCGCAGTGCGTAATAAGTGTAATTCCGATCACGGAATATAATACGCGAGAATAAAAATCGCGCGGTGAAATATCGCAGTGCGGACAGGGCCTAAGACCAAATGTCTACATCAAAAATAAATTGAATTGGATTCAATTTAATTGAATAATCGAGGATAGATGTAGATGTTTTTTTTTTTTATAGAAAAGGGGGCAAAAGATCATGCGGTATGCAAATAGTTGATGGTGGTACGACTGTACCTAGATGGATCTGAGCGGACGCCTTTTTTAGGGAATGGGTGCATTAAAACTGTCTTCCAAGAGTTCGGGTTACGCCTAGTTAGTAGGAAAAGACGCTTTAACACCTTAGCCAACTCCGGAGCACACGTCTTCAGCATACCTAAAAATACCAAACTAAAAATACCAAAATTTACGATTTTGTATTTTTAGTCGTTTCAAGTAAAAAGTGTCTCCGGTTCTCTACACTCACCACACGAAACACAACAGCGTTATACTGCCATTTTACGCTGGTATTCTGTGAGAACGTGGTCCTACCACGGTCAAGCCGACCCATTCCTGCTACAACTATGCTACTAATATAGCTGCAGCATGGCAAGCTCTACTTTTGACAAGTTGGTTGGTCCGTTGGTTGGTCAGGCTGTAAGGGTAACGGTAGTTAAAAGTACCTTTAAATGTCTGAATGATGTCTGGATATGAAAATGTTTTAATTGTTGTATTAAAATAATATAAAACTTTATAATGCTCAGACATATCAGTATAGACGAAACAAGACTAGTAACGAGTCTATAAATCGAAAAAAGAAATAGTTTTAAAGTAGTATGTATAACTTGTTTCCTTTAATAAATTCCTTTAAGTAAGAAACGAAATTAAAATTACTTAGTGAAAATAAATTAACTGCAAGCCATCGTCATTAATCTGTTGCTAAGCGTAGGCCTACCCAACAGATTACTTGCTTGTATCGTAATTGCTACAGATACGACATCCGGAAGGCGAAATGGCCACTACAAGATCATTTATTATTGAAAAGAAGATATTCTTCGTTACATTATACGAAGTCTACGTTGAGTGCGATTGTTGTGTGGAGTAGAGTGTGATGGACACTTTTATTACCCGACTGCCAAGGAAGGGTTATGTTTTTCGCGCGTATCTTGTATAATATGTATGAATGTTTGTTTGTTAATTTCTTTATTACCTTGTATCTTCCAAACGGCTGGAAAGATTTCGACAGTGCATGGTCGTGCTATCATATTAATTTTAGATCATAAGAGTGTGTCGGGACACTAAAAAGTCTAAATTATAACAAATAATTTAAAAAATCTAGATTCTAATATCTATATTTCTCCTGATAATGCCTCTTTTAGAGGCGAAAAACGTGTCGGATTAACGACGATTGCGTGACCCTATTGTAGTGGTTTCGTGGTTAGTGGTGTTGAGATTAGTTGTGACGGTGATTGTGCACGCAATTTAGGAAAAGCGCGAGGTGAGTCTAGGTGACCGAAAGTCAGTTTGGAGGACATTATTATTATTACTGCCTTTAACTTATTCCCGTTACACTATGCGCGCACAACTTCTGTTGACTACAATATATATATATATAAATATATAATAACTTAAATAATATATAATACCTGTGAGGTATAATATATATATATATATATATATAATAACTCACAGGTTAGTGTCAAGGGTGTTTCTCTTAGAGCACATCTTATTTGAAATTTGCGAGGTTTCAAGTGTTTTGTAGTACTCATGGTTACGGTAATGGTTATCACTAAAAGCGATTTCAGTGAATCTCGTAGAGCAACAGAGCTTAATTTGTATTTCACAAATAGTAATCATGAATTCAAACAAAGAGGTTATATGAATTATTATAAAGAAAAATTTAAAAGGGTAGTAGATAGTTGACATTCGGAGGCCACACAAAAAAAAATTAACTGAGAAACAACGTTTCATAAAATTAAATGATTCATGCAAAAACACTTAAAGCGACGAGAAATAATCGGAATCGCAAATTGTCGCCAAAGTGTCTATTATTCAAACAATTCACGTCTTAGCGTTCCCTGATTTAAATAAAAGCACCACCGCCGTGTCAAATTACCTTTTAAAATTTAATGATGGAATTAAACAGAGAAAAGGTTTATTTTAAATAATATTTCCAATTTTTATGCAGCCTTATTTATAACGTTTTTCTTTTGATATTATTCTATAGCTATTAGTTTTTCTTTTTTAATTTTGCATCAGTTTAAAAGCGAAATATAAAACTTCTAACTCTACCATATCACAATACAATATTTTAGATTATAATTTCATTTCAATAATAAATAAACATCCCAACCGCATTTCATAACTAATGTATACGTATAACAGTGGTAGAGCCAAGCGGTAGCTTTTGCTGTCGCACGGATGGGCCAGCTCGAACCGGGGTGGTACCACGACCTCACAGAATACCAGCGTGAAGTAGAGGTTTACCTCTGCGTTGCGTTTGGTGAGTGCAGGTGGCCGGAGGCCCAATTCCCCCCCCCCCCCCCCCATCAACATGGTAGTGGAATTAAATACAAGACTACCCCAGGAGGGTACCAGCAACCCTGGAGAATCCCTCGCTGAGCATCCACGAACAAACTACTTCACTCCTGAGCGTGGGTGCTCAGGCTGCCCCGCGTATTCTGGGGGGGGCAAAATTCCGCTCGTGACTAATGCTGCTCGGGGCAAGCGGAGCAATACAACCAAGGCGACCCCTGTCACGCTATCCGTGAATTTTTGCAACATCAGGGGACTTCATTCCAACCTTAACGCTGTCCATTACCATCTAGAGACGGCGAAGCCGGCCTTGCTCTTTTTAACCGAGACTCAGGTGTCCTCTCCGGCTGATACTTCATATCTCTCCTACCCGGGGTACAAATTGGAACACTCCTTTGTGCCCCGGGCTGGAGTTTGTGTTTACGTCAGAGAGGACATCTGTTTTCGACGCCTCGGCAGCCTTGAAGGTACGGACCTGTCCATCCTATGGCTGCGCGTAGACAGCGACGACCATCCCCGCGTCTACGGGTGCCTCTATAGGTCCCATAGCGGTAATGCCGACACAGACCGACTCATCGACCACGTCCAAATGGCTGCAGACTCCGTGCTACAACAGGTCCCATCCGCAGAGATCGTGATACTCGGTGATTTCAACGCCCACCACGCTGAATGGCTTGGTTCTCGTTCAACCGATCATGCGGGTAGATCTGTCTACGACTTTGCTTTGGCATATGGTCTAACACAACTGGTTACTTCGCCTACGCGGATCCCAGATGTGGAAGACCATGTACCTTCCCTGTTGGACCTTCTGCTGACCTCTCATCCGGACGGATATCAGGTCTCCGTCGATGCCCCTCTGGGCTCTTCGGACCATTGTCTGATCCGGAGCACAGTGCCACTCACGCTCCAATCGCAGTTGCGATCTACAGCTTGCCGCCGTGTTTGGCACTATAGGTCAGCTGATTGGGACGGGATGCGGTCTTTTTTTGCATCCTACCCTTGGGGGCGGGTTTGCTTCTCGCCGGAAGATCCCAGCGTTGTTGCCGATTCTGTTGCTGATGTGGTACTTCAGGGTATGGAACTTTTTATTCCATCCTCTGTGGTGCCCATCGGAGGCAGATCCCAGCCATGGTTTGGTCGCTCCTGTAAAATAGCATCACGCTATAAGCAGGAGTGCTACCGGGCCTGGGCTGACGCATCAACGTCTCGGGATTTAAACACCAGCGCACTTAAAAAGAAGTATAATTCCGCCTCCAGGTCCTTCAAAAGCGTCATTGCCAAGGCAAGGTCTGAGCACATCGGCAGAATTGGCGAGAAGCTAGTTCGCCTTCCTTCGGGAACCCGTGCATTCTGGTCTCTCGCCAAGGCTGTCCAAGGGAACTTCTGTCAGCCATCCCTCCCATCTCTGCACAGAGAGGACGACTCACTGGCCCATGCCGCAAAAGAGAAAGCCGATCTGTTGTGCTCTCTTTTTGCGTCCAACTCGACTCTAGATGACGG